ACTATTTCACCAAGTGGGCCGAAGCCGTACCATTACCTTGCCAAGATGCTGCCACCGTCGCCGATGCATTCCTGAGTGCTTGGGTCTGCCGTTTTGGCGCTGCCCTATCTCTTCACTCGGACTGCGGCGCCAACTTCCAAAGTAAGCTCGTGCGCGACGTCTGTGATATTCTGCGCATCCATAAAACTCACACAACTCCAGCACATCCTGAGGGAAATGGGCAGACGGAGCGAACGAACCGCACTATTATCAATCTACTCAAGGCCCTAGTGGAATCACACGACCGTCGGAATTGGGACCTTAGACTTCCCTACGCCATGATGACCTATAGGGCCACGCTGTACTCTTCCACGGGTTATTCCCCTTTCTTCCTACTCACTGGCCGTCACCTTCGACTACCTTCTGATTCTTTACTTCTACTTCATACATCCGACGGTCCGTCTCCGGACGCTTACGCTTCCGAACTACAAGAAACTCTACGCCTGGCTCATAACCTCGCCCGCTCTCACCTTCGCAAGGCATATGAACGACAGAAAACCTATTTCGGTCAACACGTCCACGGCGCCCCACATTCCCCTGGCGACTTGTAGCAACCCAGACCGAACAAGGTGTGTTTTATTGGGCTAGCCCCCGCACTTTTTGATCTTTCAGGATTCAACGTGCGATCGACGCCATCTTCGACACCGATAAGTCTGCCCTATTCTGCCCTCTACTTTCCGTTTTGGAGTTGTAGTCCACCATACTTTTCCTACCTGTATTTTCTCATAGTTCTAGTTCGTACCTTTTTCGCATCCCTATCATATTCTGAGATACTATTTTGTGTTACGCGTTCACTATTAGATTTTTCCATACCGTTTTCCGTTACGTACCCCTTCTTGATACTACTTCAGTTCTGCTAATAAACCTGTTCCACTATTACTACCGAATTCCTACCATAATGAATCCCCATGGTGTGTCTGATGGATTTGATGGACCAGAGTTCGCCCGTTTGCTCGATGAAGCATGGGAGACTACTCCTCTTTTTCAGAACACCTCGCCGTCAGAGTGTACGATCCGAAGTTTCTACCCGAGACTCATTCTATCCGACAGACTCCTCTCAGACCAACCCTTTCTCGGACTCATATCGACCCATCGCGATACAGTCCACTCCAGCTGGTAACCTACCTGAGGATTATACCTTTAATCTACC